CATACAAACCATACATCAATGGAGAGCTTATTTATTCAGCTTTCAGATGATGCATAAATCCCAATTTCACAAAATCGACCCTTATGACTGGTTTTGTGCTCCAGGGTCACATATATAATATATACTCGTGTAAAGCGATATATATATATATATATATATATATATATATATATATATATATAATACATAAGAAATCTCAACAGCTGAATTATTTATATTATTGCCCAGCTTTAATCTGTTGAATGCGACTACTATATCGATGCGACATGCGATAAACAATCTTTTCCTGACTTTAATCAGTTTTTGTGGGGAAACAACACACAAACTTCAACAATAATAATCTCGAGTACTGATTATGTGCTTTATTTAGTCTAATGTTAGTTTGGATGCCATTTTACGTGATCGTTATAGCCATACTGAAAGGGACAATGGATAATTTACCTCATACCGAAAATAAACGTTAAAACTATGAACTCAGTGTGAAGAAACAAGTGCATTCCATGGTGAAGACTTTTATTTTGGATGCGACTGATCGCAAATAATCGTTGTCCAGCACTAATTTTAACTATATTAAAATGCTTTTATTTTAAACATTTTATTATGTACTTCATTTCGTTGCAAGTGCAGTGAGCTTGCAGAGAGGCTCCGCCCATATGCTATTCTGATTGGCTTATATTTGTCACAAACTATAACAAATAATGATCTCAGGTACTGATAATGTTCTTTATTTATGGTTAAAAGTGTCGCTCGGTATGTGTTTTTGGTAGTGTTAAAATGGTTTAATATATGTTCATCACATCACGTAGCCTACGTTTCAATAAGTGTGCAAGTGCGCTTGCATAGAGAGGCTCTGCCCACGCTTTCTTCTGATTGGCTGACATTTGATTCTTCAGATAAGCGAGAAACGACATCGGATTCTATTTCAGAAGCAGTTTCTATTTCTGCAGCGTAGCGGCTTGAACAACATCATGTGAGTTTTGCAGGATCTTTACTAGCCATAGCTACTGAAAACGACAACGGATAATTTACCTCAGATCTTCACAAATCATAAATTAAAGCGTGCATGAATGCTACAACTGTCAACATGGCGTGAACAAACAAGTGTATTCCATAACAAAGACTGTTTCAGTCTCTCAATATGCGTTTATAATAATGCTAAAATGGTTTAATTTAGATTATGTACTATGCGAGTGCAGTGCGCTTGCATGGAGAGGCTCCGCCCTCACTTTCTTCTGATTGGCTGTGATTTTTGCATCATGTGATTAATTTATTTATTTTTTCTGCATCTGTGACATAAGCATCATGACTTGTAAAGTTGCTTTGAAACAATGTGAATTGTTTCACATTGTACAATATAAATTTGATTTGGCTTGGTTTTGGTACTTGGTTCATAATGTGTTGCAGTTTCATAAAGCATTGTTCAGTAGTTGTATGTTGTATTATTAAGCTCTCTTCCCAGCCTGCTGAACGTTTCCAGTGTGAATAGTGATCATCCTGTTTATTGGGAACGCCACACTGCAGCTGGCTCTCTGCAGACGAGCGCATTTCTCTGATCTCTGGAACAATATGAAGGTGAGTTATTATCTGTATGATTTTAAACTTAAAATCATGTGAATACACTCTTAAACTTTTGTTCCAAACACTTGCTATGCAGAACAATTCATGATATATATATATATATATATATATATATACACACTACCGGTCAAAAGTTTGGGATCAGAGCAATTTTTAATGTTTTTTACAGGAGACTCTTCTGCTCATCAAGGCTGCATTTATTTGATCAAAAATACAGGAAAAAAATTTAATATTGTGAAATATTATTACGATGTAAAATAACGTTTTTCTATTTTAATATACATTAAAATCTAATTTATTTCTGTGATGCGCAGCTGTATTTTCAGCATCATTATTCCAGTCTTCAGTGTCACATGATCTTCAGAAATCATTCTAATATGCTGCTTTATTATCAGTGCTGAAACTGTTGCTGCTTCATATTGTTTTGGAAGCTGTGATACTTTTTTCAGGATTGTTTGATGAATAAAAAGTTAAAAAGAAGAGCATTTATTTAAAATAGAATTTTTTTAAGAATCCTGAAAAAAGTATGTTTCCAAAAAAATATTTGGCTCATGATTCCTCTCTGTTCTTCTCTTCGTGCTGTCCCCGACTCAGTCTGATAGACAATGATTAACCGCTGTCAACAGATGCCTGACATCAAACTGAATCAGACAGAAGGGAGGAGAAACGCAGTAGCTTCTGCCCAGAAAGTCGATAAAATCTGTTTATTCAGTCAATAAAAACAAGGCTAAAGGAAGAAAACTACCCACATGAGCCAAACCAACACAAAAAGAAATCCAGTCATGGAAAACAGAAGCCAGTAAGTGCATGAGCGAAGGAATCAGAAAAACTTTCTCAACCCTAAAAACTTTGAATCACCACTTCGACCTGTTCTTTTTGTGAATCTTGAGTACCTATAGAGTAGTGTTGCATCCTTCATATCTCCAGAGTCTTTAGTTTTATCACAGCTTTACAATTCTCTCCAAAAACAGCCGAGCTCCTGGAGGCGTGTCGTGGGCGGAGCTAAAGAGTGACGAGCACTTGAGCTCCGAATGCCAACAAAACACAGACATTTGATGCCGTTTCACTTACCGTCTGCAGTTCTGAATCATGACCGGGATCTTTTATAGCTGGGACCGCTCCATCTTTCAGTATCAAACGATGTGCAAATCCAGCGCTGAACTGGGCCTTGTTTATAAAACGTTCATCAACAAACACACTTGCTAAACTCCGTTGCTGCCCCGGAAAAACCAACTGCATCCACTGTTCACGTAACGCTGGGTTCTTTGGGAAACTGAACAAGGCTATCTTTCCCTTACAACCAAAAACGCACACTTTGGAGACATTCTTCCCAAGCAAGTCCTCTTCCGGGAGAAATGCCCATACAAGGAATTCCTCCCTTCATGACATCATGAAGAGCCATGCTCGAAAAAAACTTTCCGAAACTTATACGAACCCGGAAGGAGTGTACTTGGCTCAGAAATACAGAATTTTTTTGAAACTTTGGCCATGTTTAACATGTTTAAATCCAACTCTTTAACAGTGTAAACAACTCAGAATGCATGAAATAGCGTTAGACCCCCCTCCGCTTCAACAAACATTCTCCCAGTAACATTAATAGAACATTGTTTAAAGTTAGCTGGTCTTTAATAATGTTCTCAACAGGAGCCAGATGAGTCCTCTGCACAATCTGACTTTGCTGCAGCCTGGAATTGAACTGCTGGTTTTGTCTGGCCAGAGGAGAACTGGCCCCCGACTGAACCTGGTTTCTCCCAAGGTTTTTTCTCCATTCTGTCTCTGATGGAGTTTTGGTTCCTCTGGCTTGCTTAGTTGGGGACACTTAATTTCCAGCGATATCGTTGACTTGATTGCACAGACACTATTTAAACTGAACTGAGCTGGATGATGACATCACTGAATTCAATGATGAACTGCCTTTAACTGTAAATTGAGTGTTTACTATTGTCCTTTTGCATTATTGACACACTATTTTCCTGTTTAATAAAATAAAGTTGCTTTGACACAATCTGTATTGTTAAAAGCACTGTATAAATAAAGGTGACGACTCAAAATGTTGGATGTTCGTTTAACGTACTTTAAATGTTACTACTTGTTTCAAAACGTTCAGAAGTAATGTTCATGTAATGTTTGCAAAATGGTAAAATAGAACATTCCCTCATTTTCTCAGCATTCAAAATAACCAAGAAAATATGTTTTTAGAACATTTTGAAAAACTGGATGTTTTGAACGTTCTGCGAACATTTCGAAATAAGGTTTTAATGGGAACGTTGGCAAAGCATTCTTTGTTAGAACATCTTTTGTAGGTTGGGTAGAAACGTTAAATGACTACTAAACTATAGTTGGCTTGAAGTGTTTTTAAAATATCATCTCCGGTTTAAAACAGGCCTGTGATGACAGGATAAAAAAAAACACTTGTTTACATTTGCAAGATATATGTACAGAATCCAGTTTTTGCAAATCTAATCTTAATGCCGTTTACATGTGGTTTGAAATCTGAGTTCACATCAAAAGTGTCTGCAGTGTGAATGCAACATGAAAAAGCTATACAAATAAACGTCACATTCTTATGATTCATTTGTTTAATGTTTTATTGCTTTTTGCAGCTTCTGGCCACTGTTTGTGGAAGCCCATTTCTTGTGGAAGTTTTTTTATTTTACAGTTCACACTTTTTTTTTTTCGAAATTCTGAGGGGGAAAAAAGTAAGAATTGCAAGATACATATATATTTACTTTTTCCCCCCTCAGAATTCTGACTTTTTTTTCAAGAATCCTGACTTTACATTTCACAATTCTTTTTTTTTTTTGTTTCCGCCACAGAATAAAAAAATTGCGATAGTTTATGTCTCGCAATTCTGAGTTTATATCTTGTAATTCTGACTATTTTTCTGCCATGGGATAAAATAAGAAAAATATAAAAATAAGAATTGTGATATATATATATATATAAATTCAGAATTGTGAAGAAAAAAAATTTCCAAATTGTGAAATTAGAAGTCGAAATTCCAGAGTGTGGTCACATACTTTCTTAGTAACTGTGGTGTTAAGTCCTGCTCACACCAAGGTTGATAACTATAATGATAATATTAGCGTCCACACAAAGTGCAATATCATTCTGTTTATTATAAGCGAGCGCTGCAGTTATAACGTCTCCCGCTTTAAATGCTCGAGCTCTTTAAAGTCGAGTGGATTCTATTTGGCTGTAGACATTTTTATTGTTCATCAGCTAGAGAAAAACTTCCTGAAAGTGATTCCGACGATACTGTTAGTCGGTGTCATTATTGTTAAAGTTTTGGTGTGGACTTCAAAGTTCGTAGTTATCGTCCTTGATATGAATGGACCTTGCTTTCTCGTGCTGTCTGAAAATTGTCGTAATTGACCCTTTGCAAAGACACGCCCCTTTAGTTACTGTTACTATTGTCTGACAAGCCATGGCGCTCTCATGCCACACATCATGTTCTCACGCAGTGAAAAATAGATTACGGAGCAAAGAGGAAAAAGACGGGGCACCGAAAGACAATACAGAGTTGTTTACTTTCGGTATCAGCTTTCAAATTTCTTTAAAAGATTTAAACAATACTGTTTTGTGGCTCTTTAATGTGTTGTGACAGATCGCTGTAGCGCCTCAGCTCTGCACATGAACTGATCATCTCTTTCTCGTTACTAGTTATAGCATGAAATAAACATGAATGAACATCTGGGGGGTATTCCAGAAAGCAGGTTATGTGACATACCCGGGTATGTTTAAGGGTAAGTAATAGGGGTGGGAATCACCAGAGGCCTCACGATATGATATTATCACGATACTTGTGTCACGATACAATATTATTGTGATTTTAAATATATTGCGATATACAGTATTGTAATTTATT